AGTAACAGTGCTCAGCAAAAGCAAAAGTCCTTTCATAGAGTGATTTGTTTTTTTTAAGAACACTAAAGACATGGTATATAGGTAAGAAATCATGACGAACTCTGAAAACTTAACGTTCCAGGGACTCGAAACTGGGAAATACTCCATTTCTTCAGAGAAAGGGAGAAAAGCAATTTACGTTAAAGCGGAACTTAAAATAAGTCTTGGGAAGGATTTTCTAACAAGGCTATTTTTTTTATTTTATTGCCAGAGTTCTCACTTTGACTACATAGATGGGGGCTTGTTTGTGGGGGAAGGGGAAGGAGTGTCTAAATGGAAATCGTTTATTTCAATCACCGGAGACACCAGTTCTCTCTGTACTTTTAAACTTCCTCTTTTAGCTACGTAAGATTAATTAAGGACAGCTTTCTATATTTTTTGTTCTTAAAAATATCCAACACGGTTACATGATGCGCCCAGTGGTCAAAATGAAACCAAGCAAAAAATGACAAGTGGTCTAATTAGCATCCGCCTCTAGCAAGCATATCTTCAAGTAACATCTGTACCCCGCTCCTTGAAGTATACTGGGAATTTTAGCAACAAAAACACCAGAAACATCTGGATAATCATCTAGCAGCAGACTGGCTGGTAGGTGGGGGGTGAGGAAGGGGGGGGGTGTAAACTGGGAAGAATCTGGCAGTGTTTACTTTAACTGAATTGTTGAGAAAAAAAATAACCAGAGCTCTTTTCTTAGGTAACTAAACTTCAAATGTGAATCAAGCGTGAACTACACCACAAGAAATAACTCTTCTCTTTTCTTACACATATTTAGATATTTCAAATATAACATTTAGGATTCCATTTTTATCAGTAAATACCATAAATAATACAATTTACTTTTAATTATTCTGGGAATTTACTGTATAATATGTTAGTACAGCTGGAGGGTGTGATGATATAGTAGCACTGTTGGCTGATAAGAGAAAACTGGCGTTAATCCAGTTCATGAGAATTGCTTTCTAGCATTATTATGGTTTCTTGCTAAGAGAAGATACTGTAAGGAGGAAGAATGTTAAACTGTACTCATGTAACTCATAACACATAGGTACACATGCGTTATAATGTTCATGAGATAAAGTACATTTGCTGAGTAACAGTAAATTTAAGATGCATACAGTAGAGCTGGATTAAGATTTTTGGAGGAACTAAGCACTGAAAAGATTTTGATGTCTCACCACCTCACCTCACATGTAAATAAAATAAAAATAATACAAAACAAAAAATAAGTGTAAAAAAGTTCAACAAAGTTCTATTTTTCCCCTTGATGACTACTTCAGTGCTTTTGCTGAAATATTAAATTCTATAAGAAGGTATTTTTGTCTTTTACTCTGGCATTGCTGGTGCCCTAAAGCATATGCTCAGTCAGCTTATTGTGTAAACCAGAAGTGGCAGCACAGAGGTTTTAGTCTTAGTGCAGAGAGTGTACGTAAGCACTCCCAAGTACCTCTGATGAAAATCTAGTATTTATTGAATGCCAGTCCACTGAAGTGGATTCAAAAGTATCTCTGCCCTCAATACGCTTACATTCTAACATGGTGTACAAGAAAGATTCACAATTAATTATTATATTGAAAGTAGTGGTTTCTCTTTTAACTTAATAATGACATATCTCTCAAACACTGAAAATAGAGGCTTTATAGTTGGATATTAAATACTTAGTGTCATGGAAATCTTTTTTCAGCAGTTCATACTCATTTTAAAGGGCTTATATAAATATAATTTAATCACATTATTTTGTGACTTTCCCTCATTGACTTAAGTGTGTACAGTTTCTGAATGATTACCTTATGGAAATATATGGTATTTATAATTTTTTTACCTAGGCTCAAAGTCTTCCTCCTGTATTTATAGATACAACAGAGGTAGAAAACAGACTGGTATCCTCAGGGGACCTTTTAATCATTTCATAATTGTGGCTTTGACATTTTATTTCTGAGATTTAGCAGGCTTTTTCATGTGGGTACTCACATTACTTATAAAAAATTTTTTTAATTTATTAATTTTTAGAGAGAGAGAAACATTGATTTGTTGGTCCACTTATGTACGCATTCATTGGTTGCTTCTTGTATGTGCCCTGACTGGGGATCGAACCCATAACCTTGGCAACACCCTAACCAAGTGAGCTATGTGGCCAGGGCAGAAAGTCTTTTTGTAAAGTAAGAAAAAATTGCCCAATAAACAACTCAGAAGCTTAAACATAATAGCAATAATTAAACTTGTATAGTGTTTCATGGTTATAAAATTTGATGCACACATTATTTAA